GCCTTTGTCCCTTTTTTTCGCACAACGACCGACGACCTCACGAGATACCAACGCGCGATAACGGGAGTCCCGGCAGGCTCGGGGGGACGGGAAAGTGCAGAGAGTGAGCGGGAAATTCTCGCGTACGCGGAATATTCCTCGGTTGTGCAACACCGATACCATCGACCCTCCAAGTATCGACCCTTTTCTCCTGGGACAACCTGTAAGCAGTAGTCACAGCGCATCGCACTCACTCACGCATGCACGCACGCACGTAAGCCACGCACGAGTTTGTTTACAAGCCGTGGCACTCGCTACCGGAGTTCCTTGACTCGGAATTGAAGCGAAGCACGACAAGGACGAAAGAGAGAGAGAGAGAGAGAGAGGGGTTTCCTCTACCTTACGTTTGCACACGTCATGCGACATGAATTTCTATGTTCACGTTTCTTTCTTCGCCCCTTAGATAGACACATGCACGTGAATTTGGCAGGTACTTTATATCAGTCGATTCGCAAAGTTTGCTTTCCTTATAAGTGGTCCATATAGTACTCATATATCCGTCATATAAATTATTATAAAAGTGTAGCGAAAGGAAAGCACGAATAAATGATTAATATTTGCACAAAACATATCATGCAAAATGTAATACAAAAATCTGAATTTAACTTCCGGTAAATTTGTTGCCTCGCGCTTCCATGGAACAAAAATTTACTAACAAGTAAATTTATCCAAAGAACCGAAAAGTTACACTCTTTCTAATTTGGCACAAGTATAGAAGTACAAAAAATATTTAGGTCATATTTTTTCATTTTGATCCATTTTGAGTTTTGCAAGCAGTTTATAGCTTTTTCATGTTTTCACTCCTATCATCAACAAATGCAACAAAAATGCATAAGAAATAAAATTGAATACAAGACAGGCGTTTTTGGTTTACTGATTATGAATATGAGATCAAATCTGTAAAATTATTTGTATAAATAATAAAATATTTAAACAAAACATGTAAAAAGTTAAAAAAAATTATTTTACAAATAATTTCTCGGTTTGGCCGAGATTCGAACCATTTTTGACTAATTTAGCACAGATTTGAAATATTTCAGTTGGAATCTCAGCTAAAGAAATTTAGAATAGTTCTTGTCTCAGTTATACCGATTTTGTTAAAATTATTTAACTATATCTTGTATTCAATTTTATTTCTTATGCATTTTCGTTGCATTTGATGATAGGAGAGAGAACATTAAGAAGCTATAAACTGACCGTGAAACTCAAAATGGAGCAAAATAAAAAAAATATGACCTAAATATTCTTTGTACTATTACATTTGTACCAAATTAGAAAGAAATAAGAATGTATCTTTCGGGTAAGTTTACTTGTAAGAATTATACTCAAACTTGCATCTATTACATTCAGTATTGCGTTGCAAAACTTTGCTGTTAAATTTAACATATTCTTTACGTGTTCCAATTGTTACACTCGAATTTTCGTTTTAGTTCAACGCAAGGCACATATGTTAACGAATAATAAAATGTTGGTTAACTAAAAGTCATTCAAGTAACACTCAAGTAAAATAATAATAAAATGACAAAGTAACACAAAATTGTTCACAGTGCACGAATATCCTAGCAACTATCAACATTGCAGTATTTTATGTATAGAATTGTAAAAAGAAAAACTACTTGACAATTTATTTGTGACATATGAGACTCTTTCCACATGGAAATAAACTTTACGTCCCACAAATAAATCTTCAAAGTGTTTCTCCTCAATGTGTCTGGGTATGTCTACCGTGATGACGTGACCCTTCATCGTGTCGATTGCCTCGATTCACCTGGTCCGACTGTTCGCGTCGACTAGGAGGCGACTGGGACCACGCAACAATTGCTGCACGTTGACGGGGCGCACGGCCGACCGGTCGTCGATTCTCGGCCGGCTGAAAACCTGAACGTCGACGCGGCGCGTGGCTCGTAAATCACGAAACGTCGGCGACGGAAACGAATCGCCGGCAATTATCGTGCGAATAATCGAAACGTAGTAGCCGCGGCGCGCTTCATCACCTGTCAACCCTTTTGGCGCCGCGGAACGAACGAGGGCGACCGCGTCTCCATCGGGGTTTTGCATGCGCGAGGAAGTGCTCCCCGGTTGACCGGTCGGGCCATTTGCGCGAAATTGACGCAGGTACCGAGGCGATGACGACGAAACTTCTTCCACGCTCGAGTAGAAATCGATCGAGCGGCGTGAGCCGCTGAAGTACGCTTTGAAGTTTATTGGAAAGAGCGGCCGTCAAGTGCGGTGAGTTTTATGTTAAGCTTAAGTTTGCCCTGCCGTTGGTGAAACGCGTTACACCGACTCGAGATCGAGTGTATTTTGCAAGTATGATAAGAAACTGAGGCACTATCAGACTCCCTAATCGAACGTTGTTCAACAAAAATCGAAGGAGATCAAAAAGCGAGAGAATATAAAATTGCTATGCACTTGAAAACGCGGGAACACAAAATTTGTACGCAATTGGAAACGAGAGTACAAAATTGCTACGATTGGAAACGAGAGAATATACACGGAAAAAAGCCTGAAAAAAGCCGATAAAGACTGAGAAAGATCGAAAAAGACCGAGAAAAACCGAAAAGGACGCAGAGGAACCGAAGAAAACCGAAAGAAACCGACAATCTCTAATCGAAATTTTGGCTCTATGTTAAACCTTGAATTTTACTACGCAATAGGAGCTAAGTTAGCAAAGTAGGTTTAATTCTAATGATACTCTCTTAGAGTGAATCAGTGAATAGTCACTGATATCAGTTATAAGTATAGCACTGAGCAGTTTCAGTGCTGTACTTATAGCTGCAAATCAGTGTATATACTGCAGTGTATTTACTACTTTCAATGTTTCACTGATTTTCTTTAAGAAAGTATAATTCTAATGATATTCCTACTTTGACTCTGATGATGTCGGAAATTTCCCTTTTCACTTTTTTTAGCGTCAAAATAGGTTACATTATAGGCTTCAAAATAAGCTTCAAGATGTTGAATGAAATAGTTGAATAAAATAGAGGTTGAAAGCAGAATCAAAATTTCTAATGATCCAACTCGGAATGACCAAAAAAGGTCGAGGAAAACCGAAAAAGATTGAGAAAAACCGGAAAAAAAGTCGAATAAGCTCGAGAAAGACAGAGGAATCGAAAAAGACGATTGGAATTATGTCCAATAGCACAAAACACGCCGCTCTCACGGCACTGTCGTAGATAGATGAAAGCGCTATGTGATAGAATACCAGGGAACCGGATCGATCGAGGAGAATACCTTGTTCGATTGTCCGCGTTCGGTCCGTCCAGACGGATACGCGAAATAAGCGACACAATGGATACGCTCGCATTCGTCCACCTACACCGATCTATTTCTCTACTTCGTTATTATCATCATTCCACGACGACTCGTGTCAAACGTGAAAATTGCTAAATCTCGTCCGCAATACCTGCGGAGATTTACACAGACCGCTTATTATTATTCCTCGAGACAGTTACCCGAGTCGAAATCTTCGTTCCACGATGCAAATACCTTTACATTTGCAGGAGCAATGGAGAGTCTCAAGATATAACACTGTTATTGTGCTCCATTGATGCTGCAAGTGATTACTTGCATTGTTTTCTGCATGTTGAGATTTAAAGCACCCACTGAGAGCCTTCAGAATGGCTCCACATTAAGAAAAAAATGTTTGGTATTTATACAACTACATTTATATAGAGAAATAATTACCATAAATTATGCTCAAGAAAATATATTTTTTTTTATTAAATTCTACTCTATGATACTATTGAAATTGATAAAGAAAATTATAATAGATAAGATAATTATTGCAAACAAAGATAACTGCTGTGTTTGTCCTCAAGCAACAATAGAGATCTAAATCTCGAAATTTCGTATAGCAACAAAGCCAAAATAAAATAAGACGTCGGCAGATTGAACTTACAGCTCATGGGGAACATTATTAGAAATATAAATCAATACTCGAGAGACCACTTGCAATGGATATATTCTAAATTTCGACTTGGGTATGATTCCTCTCGATCTATTACGTTTTTACAGTCGTGTTCATGTTGTCATCGACAAATTCGATCGTCCGCGCGGAGAGAATGTTACAGTTTCCTTTTCATATAAATTCTTCTAAACTTTATTATATTTCTGTTGCATGAGTAGGCTGTTCAGTGAAGTCTATTATGTTCAATAAATTTTGCTAAGAATACAGCAAATATTTGAATAGCACATTACAATTTCTGAGGTATAAATAAATAAGAGGCTCTCTGTCCTTTTCTTCTTTGAATAAGATATAAATAACACGCATGAAATGAAAGGATAATAAATTACTGTCGACCTGTTTTTCTCGGCTGAAAAATTCTCTACGTTGATTTTTACTGTAAAATTCTCTCCGTGCAATCGACAGCTTCAAACGTCAACCACATTACGCGATCCTGAATTCTGAGTAAGTTCCTAGCCAAATTTGTAGCTGCGAGTTGACATGTATATATCTGATTTTTTATGTAATTTATCGGCTCTGCGTGCGTTATATATATATATATATATATATATATATATATATATATATATTCTTTTGTCAATGAAGAGAGTCAAAAATATGACCGAAACGTTTAATTTATACGTATGTCTCTATTACTTTAATGCTTTAATACTTTAATACTCTATTATTTTAATGCATTACATACTTTAATACTTTAATTATTAAATTATTATAAGCACGAAAATCTTGCTCTTATTGGCTTAATTAACCAGTTTTTGATTCCTGGCCGAAGTCCACGCGCGACGCGGACAGTGAACGCGGAAAATCGCATAAACGCGGAGACCCAGATCGTCGACCACCATTAATACACTGAGAGAAATTATTCGATAAGAAATTAACAAGCAGATATTTTCGATAAATTAATTTTTATCGAACAATTTCCCCCAGTGTGTGCGCGCGTTCTCCCGAAATCATCGAGTCTAATAAAGAGGATCCACAAGAATGTCTGACTCACCAATGACAGTATTCGCGGCGACCTCCTTGGCGGCCGCGGCGGCGGCGGCCGGTCCATGCGCCAAGAAGTCGCTGAGCGATAAGGACGACGCGATGATCTGTCGCTTCTCCTCGAAGTTGAGGTAGTCCAGGCTGTTGCTGCGCTGCGGCGCCGCCACGATCGTCACCGTCTTCGTGGTCGTGTGGTGATGGTGGTGGTGCTGCTGGTGGTGCAAGCCGGCCTCCACGCCGAGGTTACCGGGCTTGTCGTTGCCGGCGTCGTTGCCGCCGCCCGGGCTGGGCACCAGGTAGACGCCGCTCACGCGTATCGACATCGCGTTCGCAGCTCGGTCCTTGAAGCGACCTCGTCTCTTGCGACCCCACGGCCGCAGGATCGCTACGAGCGCCGGCAACGGAGCTACCGGGTGGCCCCTGTCGACGCGCGCATCCCGGTGTGCACCTGCTGCTCCTCGCGGGGTCGGCGGCAGCGGCTCGCGTCGTCGTTCGCCGCTCTTCGTTCGCGGCTCCACGGCTCGACGGTGGGATTCGCGCGGTTCCACGTGCCCGTGCGGGCGTCCGCGACGAGGACGACGGCGGTGATCCTCGCTGACGGCGGCCGGGACGTGCCTTGTCCGCCACGTGGTATCGACGATTGCCGTCTCACACTGCTGGACGAGGAGATCGCATCCGACCGTCGTCTTACTCCGCGACGTTGCTGTTTCTGCCAGCTAGCCGCCGCTGATGTCTCGACCGACTGGTCCCGCGAACGTATCGGGAATCCCGTTCGAGCCGCTCGAGCTTGTTACATGGAGCGAATAGCGCTCTCGTTATCGGCCTCTCGATTACTCAACAGTCGTGCGCGTACGCTGACGTTGCGCGGCTTATCGTTGGCGCGTTCCGCGCGGAGGTATCTTCTCGGTTCTTTTGTCACAAACACAGGCAGACAGAAAGAGAAAGAGAGAGAGAGAGAGAGAGAGAGAGAGAGGAAGAGAGACAGAGAGATTAGATTACTACGTTGAGGCTGTTATGGCACTGTGACAGTACTTCGGAACCGGCTCAGGTAGAACACAACGGCGTACGAAATGCAGTCGAGTTCGAGCCGCGATTGGCTTCGCCACGGGATGTCACTGATTATTTACAACGGAATTCCCGATCACTGGCACACCACGGGAATTTACTCGCACGGACGAGAACCGTGAGAGAGCGACTGACTGACTGACTGACGACTGGAGGAGAGTCGCGTCCCTGCGCATCGGGGAACGAGGAAAAGTTAACTACTTGGCCACTGCCCGACCGTCATGAATGACGCGCATTGTGTTTGCTCGTGGTCGCCCGAGACGACTAAACAACGCACGCCGCACGGCTCTCTTTCGTAAACACGGCAAGAAGTACCACGCGAAATACTTTTTCGTTTGCACGCGGCGAAGATGATTATGAAGCCGAACTTCGAATCGACATTGGTCGGCACAGGTCGGCCGGAAATTTAATATCGCTTTTCGACAATATTCGCCAACAATAAATATTATTGATTAATATGTTTCATTAATAATCTAGGTGCGCGCGTGCGCGCGTGTGTGTGTGATGAGAGAGAAAGAGCTGCGTTCACAGATGATTCTAATGAAATTTGTTGCTTAACACACAAACTGTACACAGAAAAATATCATTCTATTACTAGTAATAAGTGATTACTCGGTTTGCATACCTTCTATTAAGTAATGGCTACCTTTAATACAGGGTTGGCAAAATTCCACATTTGAACGAAGTCCACATGTCAATAATAAAATCTGATATTTTCCGGGAAAAACAGGTAAAAACTGATCTTTTTCTATTAAAAATGGTAAAGATAATAGTTAATGATATTTTCTCAAGCAGAGGCTGAATCCTTTGCAAAATTCTGGCTTTTTTTAAAAAGTCAGAAATGCAAAGATGAGAATGTGATGGAAAGCATTAAGTAAAAATGATTATCTTCGACAACGAATAATTTCTTGATCATGGTTTTAAAATATATTCATTTCTTATTCTGGAAAGCTCACTGTCACTTGCCCAGAAGAAGAATTGATTCTCTTCATGAGAACATCGCAAAACTTTATCAAAGAAAAAATTGATTCGATTCTAGCAAGCAAACCGAATTTCTCTTAATTTAATATATTCTTGATTAACATCCTAAACCCACTGGGAATGTATTCTGAGTGAATTTGATGTTTGTGATAGACTTGTGATAGATTTGCGGATGTATGAACTTATAAAATATTTTTGATAAGCAACGTTTGCTCGAATGCAACATGTATTTTTCTATGTGTACCGACGACTAGTGACTTATTTTCCCCAGAACGGCCCAAATAACAGAGTTTTGTGACAAAATATCACTTGTTCTTCTTAATTTTATTCTCAACGCGTCAATTAAAAATACAAAATGCACCGTTTCAGATCTGACTAGTTTCCGTCCCTTGTCATTTTGACTGCTTTGGTGGTTTCGCTGTTAAACATGTAGCACAATTCGAGCGGCGAGAAGTGCACTAGCAAGTGCGATAAAAAATTTAGATTAATCTCGTGGGTGTAATCGTCGCGCCTAATATGATGCAAATTTTACTTTTACGAATTGATCGAGGCGGAAGGCACTTCCTTCTCTCTTCGGGCGTTCGCCGAGCCAATGCCGAGTTTGTACCTCGCTCGAGAATTTTATGAGATGCAGACCAAGGCCGGAGAAAATTTCTCGCGTGTGACTCGACGGAATCGTGGGCTTCCCCCGGCGTGGGTGAGCGTGATCAGTCGGTAGATCGGGTGTGTTTCGCTTTTTCGCTTCGCGATATGAAAGCCTAAAAGCTAAATCGATATTTAATTACCTTGGCGGCCGACGATTTACGGCCGCAGTTATAAACGAGAAAATCATTTCAGAGGATAGACCGAGCGGGCGCGGCGATGAGAACGCGTCGATGAGGCGGCACAATAACTTCATTCACGGCGTGGGTGTAAAACCGAGGACCGATTTCTCAGAGACGTCGCTACCGCGTGCTCCACGGTGGAAGTAAAAGTGAGACGCCGGCTGGACGTGAAGCTTTTCGTCCCGGAAATACAGATCGTTGCACAATACGTTGATTCAACCTCTTCAAGGATTGAACTCTGAGGCCTGGTCTACAATAAATGGAGTAAGCTTGGTGTAAGAAGTAAGGCCCGGTTGTGTTTCAACTTCTTGGTAAGTAAACTGATAGTTAAATTATATATCTGTGTTTGTCTAAGTTGAAGGAAAAGCAAAAATAGACTTAGATTTAATTATCAGTTAACTTACCAGGAAGTTGGAACGGTCAACCTTAAAAGTAAAAAATAAAAATATTTTATTTCGTTTACGCCTATATTCTAACTCTCTTATGCTGAAAGTACTGCCGGAAGTTAAAGAAACACTTCTGATGTAAGAAAGTTAAAATACAGGCAAGTATATAAACAAAATAAATTTTTATTTCTTACTTCTCATACCAAGCTTACTCTATATATTGTAGATAAGCCTGACACGCACACGCACACAGAAACATGTGTTACGCTACGGTTTCAACACCTTCTCTTCAGATTTCAGAACGCAGTCGACGATCCAATGATTTATTATTTGAAACTCGTCCCCAGTGAGACAATTAAATCGCTCTATTGCAGATATAAATATAACATATAATATAATTCAACTAAAGAGCTTAGATGTGATTCTGTATAAAAGATTGAGTATCTCTCACGTGGTCTCAAGTTTCAGGTGAGATCATTATTAACACGGATCTTAATTTCTGAAAATTATTCAAGAACAGGTTCTCCCATTGGACCATCTGCTAAATTCTGAAATATATTGAAAAAGAAACGAGTACTAACCTATTAAGTTTGGATACGTTCAATCGTTCTTTCTTGATTTACACAGTGTCGACAAATGTGCAACGAACAGTGCTATGAATAATTCACCGCAAAGTGTCCCACGAGCAAAAGAGAGATATCATCGCGTGCTTAACAGATGTCACGTCACTTTGGAATTAAATAACTTTCTTCTGATTGTAATCAATTTGTGCCCGAAGAGGTACACAGTGTCGCCTCTCGCGAACGCCTCTCTCACGAGCCGTTGCGTTGAATGAATTTCACCACGCCCCGGCGCCAATTTAGAAAATTAACGTCGCCCGAAATAAGCCAGCCCGCGATAAGGCAAACCACCCGCGTGCTCGTGTGTGCGGCGAGTAAATTTCGTAATTGCGTCTCGCGACAGTCAACGGAGAGCGAGCGATCCAACGAATCCCGGGATCTGGAGCACGGGAGCAACGTGGAAAGGAGCGTCCATTCACGGGCCGATCAACCGGCTGACTAACCTCCAAGGACAAACTTCCAAGGACAAACACCGTCGACGGCACGAGAGGTAATCAGACGACACACGCGTGAAATTTCCTTCGCCTCGCGCCCTTTCTTTTTTCTCTCTCTCTCTCTCTCTCTCCTTCACATCACACATACGCGCGCGCGCACATGACACGAGCACACGTTCGAACAGGTACGCGCCGAAAAGGGACGCGGAAGTGCACGAACCCGGACGATGACGTACGTACTCAACGACGACGACGTCGACGACGACGACGACGACTCGGGCAGTGGAGGGCTCGTTTTCTCGGCAGGATTCGGGAAGAAGCGTCGAGGCACGGCGCGAGGCCCGGACGTTATATCACAGCAGGCGTCGGCTCTCCTCCGCCGCTTCCACGGGACACCTGTGCGCCACAGGCCGAGGAGCGCAGGTGAGAGGAGAGCGAGACGGCGATAGAGAGGACGCGACGATCGTAAACACAGGCAGCGGCGCGTAGTATTCCGCGTAGCCGACGTATAGTCGGCTAGGTGGACAGGCAGATAGGTTACTCACGGCACGGAGAAGAGGAAGATAGTCGGAGCACTAACGGCGGACAGAGTCACGCGGATGGAGAGGAGCTGAGGGAAGAGACACGGCGGGAAGAGAGATGGCGACGGAGGGCACGAGAGAGATTCCAGCGATCTTCGTCGGCGACGACGCCGACGTCGGCGTACACTGACACGCGCACACACACTCACTCTCACGCACTGACACACGCGTAGTAGAGAAATACGCGTTGCGCGCGCGACACAAACTCCAACACGGACGCCGCACCGTTGCTGCTTCTCCTTCCCCTCGCTCGCGACAGACGGAGAGAAAGAGGGAAAGAGAGGCGGAGGAAGAGGAGAGACAGAGAGAAAGAGGAAGAGAGAAGGATCGTCCGGCGACGGAGGAGCGGCGTCGATGACACGACGAGAGAGGATCGTCGCACGGCTCGGGACGGATTCTCGAGAACGGAATTAATTACGAAAGCGCGCGCGGACTGGCGACGTGCGGAACAACAAACGGCGCACGGCCGAGAGAGACGGGGACGGTCACGATGACGGCGACGACCACCACGCCACGAAACACACACCGAGCGAGGCTCGCGAATACTGAGGGCGGCCATGCGACCGCAGCGCCGCGACGCGCCCGAAGCGGATGCTAGCGAGCACGAGACGGCAGCCGGCTGCCGCGCCACGCCGCGCCGATGTCGGCGGAGGGAGAGGAGCGAGCCGTATGGCACGTTCGCCGTAACTCTCGGCCAATTAACGTGTTGCTCTCGCGCGCGCGAGCATTCCGCCGAGCATTACACACCCGGGGATGCTAACGATCACACAGCCCCGTGGTCCGCGGAAAACTCGTTTTTTCCCCCCACCGAGACGAGCGGTTTATTATGTATATTAAGCCGTGCACAAATGCGCGGTCGCGTTGCACCGCGCACAACAATGCACGAGTGGGGATCGTTAATTGCACGCCGATGCTTGCGGATCATGTCGCTTTTTACGTTTCATTGCGGCTTGCAAGTGAATGCCCCCAAGGAAATGACGAGACAAATGTCGATAACGTAGAGACGATCGTCATCGTATTGTCCTCGTGTTTCTCATACACGTAAATCTAAAACGCGCGCTGCTGTTTTACCATGTGCCGACGGTAAACATAACCGCGCATTTGTCGAAAGCTTTCTGCAAATTTTTCGTGTACTTTTGAGTTTTCACATTGAGTAGCAAAGATACAGAAATTCCTTGAAATTTTCGTCAACGGGGTAAACACACGTGCAGTACGCACAAGCTACACGAAACTTTTGTATCAAGTGTTTACGCCAACTGACAGCTCGACGTAAATTTTATTTTATTTTTTATCGTTTTCGATATTGAGCGATACTCCAATTCATTACTGAACGTACTTTTTTGTATGTAAAAGCATGGACCTGTATGCTGTGCGACCGGTACAATGCAAACTTTGTAGAAAGAAATCAGTATTTTGTCGGTGATCCTCTTAAAGAGATATCATACTTGCAAACTTTACATTATACGATAATGTAATTTACGATACGAAATTTAAAATGTAATAATAAATTTACATGATAATGTAATTATTGTTGCAGCAATGAATTTCTTAAAGTCACAGTCAGTTTTGCATTTTATATGACACTGTTTCGAGCAAATTTTGACCATTTTCTTTTTTTGGATCTTTTTCGTATTTCAGTATTCTGTGTAATATGAATGTCATACACTGAGAAAAAATATCTAAAAAATAAAAAACACTTATTCGGTGGATACTAACATATTTAGTTATAGCAATACAAAATATTTTTTATTTAAGAAAAATTTTTTTAAACCCTTAGCTTTTCGTGAAAGCTCTTTTATAAAATTTTTTTTTAAACTCTCAGGTTTAAACCTTAACTTTTCACGAAAGCAATTGTTTATTCTATTTCAATAAAAAAATTTGAATTTAAGAAGGTATGTTATATATTAGTATCCACCGAATAAATATTTTTTATTTTTTAGGTGTTTTTTTTTTCAGTATATAAACCACTCATAAGGGCTTCTGCAACCTTTACAAATCAAATAATAAAGTTACTGCCAAGTTTACAGACATGTACTTGTCTACTTGGGTAATCTAAGTAGAACGTATTTTCAGAGACGCCGAATGAATGTCTGCCGATTTCCGCGTGCTGTCGCTTAAGCCGTACAAAATTATTTGAGATACAATTCGCGTGAAAACACGTATGCGATTTCTCATTTCCAGCACAGATCGCCGTATGACAGCAGCGATCGATCCGCACGGATTTCCGTCTTGAATCTCCCTCTCTCTTTCTCTTTTATCCGCCTGCATTCAATCATTATGCCGATTGAATAGCGCGTTTGCAGTCTAGTAAAGCTACCTATGACGAATGGCAGGCGAAAGTCTGCCAGATGCCTGCCAGTTTCACGTGTTTTTTTCCTCTTTCTCTTTCTTTTTCTTTCTTTTTTTTTTTTTTTTTTTTTTTATGAATGTGTAGGATGTCACGCATTTTTAGTCTGGGAATAGCGTGCGCGGTGGTTGACGATCGTGGGTAAATACGAGACAGTAACGTTAGTATTTGCGAAACGAAGGAGGATGATGCGGATATAGCACATCCCTCGTAACTCGAGCACGCAAATATGCCAACAATGAGGCTGCAGCTATTTTTTTTACAGAACGATAAATTCGAGTGGCATTATGTAACTCACGTTTGGTGGTTGACGTAGAAACTGACGATCGGCTAAATCGAACGGATTTCTCTCTATCTTGAGACATATATATACATACCTGAAACAGAAAAAGAATAAATTCAATTAGTTTGCTGTAAAGATTCTCTAAAGAGCTATCTTAAGTAACATTCCCAGAAAAGTTCCATAGTAAAATATCAATTAAAACAAATATAAGTAAAATAAAATAGCGGCAATTAATTTTTTTATTGTAGTTACTAAATATCTGGCTGATCTCATTTTAACTGAATTTTGCTTTCGTCAATTCTTTCTTCAGTATGCTTTCTCACCAAAGCTTGATCTACAATGTACTCTTTGCTTCCTGTTTCTTGTTTCCTATCTTTTTCGGATTTGAAACTTGTTTGGATAAAAAAAAGGTAAAGGAAAAGAAACAGGAAACGAAGAGAACATTGTAGATCAAGCTTCATACATCCTATTAGACATTGATAAAAAAAACACGATAATATCAACCGAATATTTTAGTTCCAAATATAAAAATAATATTCTCAGTATGGTGAGTGTTGTAACGAATGCCAGCTGTTGAACGTTTTTCCCTGCTTCCGCCGAAACAACGCGACGATTTTCCAGATAAAAATTTTTCCCACGGGCTCCGTTTCGTTCATCGAGCGTGACATTGCAGCGTTAGTTGGCAGGTCGCAAAGTAGCGAATCGAGATTGCCGCGCGCACGCAAGCTCGAGCGCATTTGTCTCATCTACGGACCCGACCTCTCGCACGTGCGGGCCGAGCTTTATTTCCGAAGGCTGTCGAGTCGCGTTACGAGTATCCAGACGCGATATCCTTCACGACGGTGGGCGGACGCGCCGAGGCGCGAACATTCGAACTGGAAAAGACGGCGGTGCGACGCCCGCCACCACGTGGTATTTCCGAGGCGTCTAGACTCGCTAATTTAAACCGACTCGCGCATCTCCAGCAGCGGCGTTTCGGCCCGGTCTAGCCGCTGTCACAACTAAGGCCTGAAATATGAGAAACATTTCGCGTTTCGCGCATATGTGCGCGCGCGCGCGCGCTTGGAGAACGGAGGAGCGAACAGAGTCGTTCTTGAAGGTCGCCCGTTAGAAAGTATCCGTGTTACGAATGACGTGTGGATGCATTCACACATCGGCAGCGGACAGTATCCTTCGAGTGACTTGCAGTCGACCGGCGAATCTTTGAGTTAGACGATTGATTGATTGTTAGATCGTCATCTTGGAGTTTTTAATACGTCAAAAGAGAGAGAGTCTCTGCGTCGACAGATTAACGAACTTTACCGAGACATCTTTCACTTTTACATTTTATAAAAGTAATTTATAATATATAATTTATATATACTTTATAATTAATTAAATTTTGCTTATATTCAGACAACGCGATTGAAGAATTAAGGATATAAAAATAAAAGATGTCTCCGTACAGTTCAGTTATTAATTAATTAACGAGAAAAAAATCCCTTTTTAGGAGAAGAAAAGGATAATATGCAAAAGAAGGACGAAATATGTACGTATAAATATACAGACGTAATATGATATAAAACAAATAAAAAAAGGAAAAGAAAATAATTAATTAAAAATTAATTCGATCGGGACATTTACAACAGTATTGCGTATTAATCGACCAAAGCTTCCTTTGACTACAACAATCGCAAATCAATAATCAAAATTAATTAATCGTCATACATAAAATTACAAATAATTTTATCGATTGACAAAATTAATTATTAATCAAACTTTGATGTGAATAATTATGCACTGATTAATAATTAAATTCTTTAATCGATAAAATTGTGCGATTTTATATGCGACGATAGATTAATTCTAATTATTGATTTGCTGATATTATTGCTGATTATTTTAGTCATATGAATGTTTAATCATTTAACACACAAAACTGTATTACAATGCGTTTTTATTTATTTTTTTTTTAAAGAAACAATTTCCTGTTGAATTACACAAGTGAATAAATAAAGAAATAGATAAAATAAGTTCGTGTATCTAAAGATACGACTCAATTGTACAACGCTTGACGACGACAACATACCCGGAAAATTAATTATTAACCAAACTCTGATATGACTGATTAATAATTATTAACTGATTAATAATTAATTTCGTCAATTGATAAAATTACCTCTGATTTTACATACGATGATAGATTTGTTCTAATTATTGATTTGCCGATTATTTCACATTAAAAAAAATTTTTTAATCAATGAACGTTCAAAACTGCTCTACAACGTGTTTCTCCTTTAAAAAAAGGAATTTCCCGTCGAATGCATGAGTGAATTAATGAAGAAATAAATAAATAAATGAATTTATGTATCTGTGAAGGGGCACGACTCAATTGTACAATGCTCGGCGACGACAACCTTCCCGGCAAATAAGCGTGCTTTCACTATTAATCCAATTACCACGCGATACAGAGCGCGACTACTCGTAATCAATGCGCAGGGGCGAGTTACGTTCGCATGGGTAATCACAAAGCTCGAGGGCGGTAAAAATTCACGAATTTACATGCAAATGCGATATATCGGGTGAATTCCTCGCGCTTCTTCTCCCGCGTCTCCACATCCGTAATACGACGGCTTTTTGCTCCGTAGCTCCGAAGTACGAGGAGCGCGAAGCGCTTTGTACACGTTTAATCTGCGCATATATTGTTAATGGTATGACCGGCCGGCTTATTTAGAAATTAGTAGTTATTATACACATTAGAGAGACTACGACCGAGCAGGGACATTAATGCATGCATGCGTGGAGGACGGTCCTCTACTGCGACATTATCCGCTTCTTTTCTCGTCGTGTTGTGCAACCGTACGTGCCGCGCGCGTCTCTCTTTCTCTCTCTCTTTAAATCCTGCCGTCGTATTATCATTTCCAAACGAATGATACAGCCTGAGAAATAACATAGCGTCGTGAACGCTGAGCGTTCGCATACATGCGGGCTTAAAAAAGAAAAAGAACTACATGGCCTCAAAAATCGCCGACGTTAAGGGGATGCTGGAGTCGATGACGAACAATGTCGATAACGCAGTGATGATCATCACTAATATAATACAATCACCCTTTTCTTCTCGTATTTCTTGTATATACGGAACTTACGTAAATGTATGTTGCTTTGTTTTACCATATTCAGCTAAAAACCTAACCATATGTAGAAATCTTTCTGCAAACTTTTCCGATATTCTTAAGCTTCTGAATTCAGATACGAAGCAATGTTCTTCAAAAATTTTCTGCTTGGAGCATTTGGTATGTACAAGCTTTTGGATTAGGCAAATATTATGTTGACAGCTTGAGATTTTACATAAAAAAAAGTTTTATCGCATATTGAGCAATGCTCTTATTTATTTTTGCACGTACTTTTATTGTGTAAAAGCACTTGTAATTCTGTACAACGAATACGACGTAAATTTTGCAAAAAATGTCAGTATTCTATCGGTAAAGTTTTCAGCATGCCCTTAGAGGGATGCTATATTTGAAAACATTACCGACAAAATATCAACTTTTTTTACAAAATTTGCGCGTCGTACTAATTGTACAAAATTACAAATACCTTTATTATTTACCGAAAATATGTGTAATAATAAATCAGAGCATTGTTTGATGTGATGAAAAATTTTTTAAAAGAAAACTTTTTAGGAAACTTCAAAATTGACATCTCGAGCGTCATATTTACATTATCTTTTCTGCTGGCATGGTATAACAAAGCAGTATATATTTGTATAAAATCTATATACAAGAAATACAAAAAAGAGCGTGATTGTTTGGTGACAATCGTGTCTACGTTATCGACACTACTGGGGTACGTCGTCTCTTTAAGGGGATTCAAAGGCTAATACTGACTTTTTTCAAAGTTTATGTTGCATTGATCGCACAGAATTACAAATACACCGAGAGCACGTGCAATAATAAATTGGAGTATTGCTCGATAACAAAAACGATAAAAAATTGTAAAATTGATATCTTGAATGTTGATTTCACATATTTATATTATCTTTTCTGCATGATATAACAAAGCAATAAGCATTTTTACAAGATCTATATGTGCAAGACATACGAGAAGGATAGCGTGACGATCGTCTCTACGTTATCGACATTTCTTGAGCTCGTCATCTACTTAAGCGTTCCCTTTAACTAAGGTGACCTTTAACTAAGACGTCCCAATTTTTCACTCTTTGTCCCGAATTTTTTCGAGTGCTATT